TAAAACTGTTATTTCCCCTTTAATTCTGACTTTTTTGCTTTAAGTATTTTTTGAGCTCAGTTAAGTGTATATGTTTATAAGTGCTCTATCTTTCTGATGGGGTGAACCTTTATCACTATAAAAAGCCCTTTATACTAGTAATGTTTGCCTTAATGTCTATTTTTATCTATTTATATATACATACAGCCATTTCAGCACTCTTCTGATTACTGTCTGCATGGCTTATCTTTTTGCATGTTTTTACTTTCAATCTGTGTATCTTTGAATTTAAATGTTTCTCTTTCCAAATATTTATTTAGTATAAGATTTCGGCTGTAAACCAGAGGTGGGGGGGGAGTGAAAGGATTCACCTGAGACAGAATGGGGAGCAGAACAGGTGGATCCACTGAAATACACTGCTGAGGGGAGCAGCAGACAAGACAAGAGAGGTCTGCTGTGCCAAATGTGGGTTATTGGCCTGGCTGGGGACCAAACTCAGGCCATAGTGGAGATAGCACTGAGATTAAGCCAGAGGCCACCAGGGAGGCCCCAAAGTGTTTCTTGTAAGCAGCATACACAAGTAGTTGGATCATCACTGAAACTTCATGTAACAAAATTTTAAGTAAACAGGACCAAAATACATAGAATGATATTCCCTCTTTGAAATTAAAGAAACTATGTAAAGACACAATACTTAAGAACAGTCATAAAAAAAAGGGAAAAGTTGGCCCTCCCTGGTTGCGCAGCGGGTTAAAGCACAGCACTGAGAAGCTAAAGCCTCTTCCGCATGAGTTCGATTCCCGCCTACAAAGAAGGAGACCAAAGGCCGCGTCAGCCCTTTCCTGCCCCGCCTGCGGCTCCCCTCAGCAGTGTACTTCATAAATCTGCCTGTTCTGCTCCCCACTCTGTCTCTGGTGAAGCCTCTCACCGCCCCTGAGCCTCTGGCCTGTACCCCAGTTCTGTATGCACAAATAAATCTTTTTAAAAAAAAAAAAAGGGAAAAGTTGCTCCACCAAATAGAATGACTACTATAAAGCATTGTAAGTAAACTATTAATAATTTTGCAGAATAAGCAAGTTCATTAATGAAGAGAGTTGAATCCAGAAAAGAGTCGTATATGTATATATTCATAATTTTAAGTCAATGGGGAACAGATGAAAAATTCAATAAAAGTTGTTATGACAAGTTTCTTCCACTAGAAAAACAAAATCAGACTGCATCTAAGAGGAGATATGACACATCAGAACTTCTTATTTCAGCTTAAGTTGGTATTACATTAAGTGAAAAATTGGACGCTGCAATGAGGTAAACCAGGATTCTTGTATTTTAGTGAATGACAAAACTACCTTTTAACTCCTTTCACCACTTCTGAAATGAAAACACATTTCTCTCTCTCCTTTGCTCACTATACTTTCCAGTTGTTGATAAGTATCCTCCAAAGATAGATGATGGTAAAGTAGCTAGGATTAGTTCCAGCTTATCACAGCAAAACATACCTAAGGTGTATGTATATTTATATACATACATAGAGAACATTTTATTCCAGTGTCACCCATTAAAACCTTTCACCCCACTGTTTTAAGATTTTAATCTAAGTTATTAAATAAAAATAATAACTGAAAGAGTTTATAAATAAAAGATACTTAGAATGATGCACCATAAAATGTTAAAGCAAATGTATCAAAAAAAAAGTGTTTGAAGGCATACTACTGCCAGTATTTTTGCTTAAAGCCAAACTCTTCCAAAATTCAGAAAAGTTTCAACTTTTTCAAATGTCTAATATGTTTAAATAAAAAAGTTGTATGAAAATTAGGATGCAAATTTGTTCAAACTTCTTCAGCAAATAATGATCAAAACAGAAAATTCCCACTTTAAAAAAAGTACATTTAGGCAGTTTTACTTTCCTGTAGATTTTTAGACAAACAAGATTTAAACCTTTAGGCCAGTCACTAAAAGTGTTAAGACAACTGACTTCCACTAGGAAGCAAACAAAATTAGACTGCATCTAGAATGAGATTTGACACATCAGATCTTACGCTTCCTTATTTCCATTTAAGTTGGTATTAAATTAAATGAATGTAACTTATTCCAATATCTTTCACCCATTAAAACCTTTTTATTCACATGAGTTTTGAATAAGAGAAACTTGGCTTTTTAGAGTGCTGTGCATGTTACAGTGATATACTGAATCTTTCATATCAAAGTAGAAGGTCTGTGAGGGCTAAGATTTTTTTTTTTTATCGGTATTTGCACTATTACTCTCATTTAAAAACTGAAATGGAGCCCAAAATTATACAATGAAATGTGCCTTCCAATCTAATAACAAAACAAAACAATAAAAAAGTTGGAGTAAGAGTAACACCATCTTTATTCAAGGTAGGAAAGACAAAGTTACAAATGCAACCTCCTTCTCTCCCTATCTCAGCCAGTCTTCCTCCCATTTTACTTATCAATTTAACAGGAAAATGAATGTTTAAAGTCTGAACACTGAAATTTTCTTCAACAAAATTTGCTTTTGCATTAACTTGGGTGCCTATGGCATCCAACGCAGTTATCTCCCAAGCCAGACATAAATAATCATTTGTGAAGAAAAATAAAAAGAATTAGTTTTAAAATGTCACATTTGATCATTTATAAGGAATAAATAGTGCAAATGCCTTACTGTGAAAAAAAAAAGCTTAGCCCTCACAAACTTCCTGTTTGATATGAAAGATTCAATGTATCATTCATAACATGCACAGTACTCTAAAAAATCAAGTTTCTCCTGTACAAAAAGCATGTGAATAAAGACTCCTAAATACTCATTTCAATAATGAGAAACTATAGTCACTAAAACATGTAAAAATACTGGAGTTCTCTGAATCTATGTTCTATTCCCAATCTGCAGCCAAAAATAGCTGGAATACTGGAAAGAAGTCTTGAAAATCTCTAACAAGTTTACTATAATATGCCATACAACTTAATCATAATCTTTCTCCCTTGCGTTATATTCAATGATTCCTTTATTTCAAAAACAAATGCATCACACAGTTTGTGACCAACACCAGTGGCTAGAAATATTTCCGAGTCATTTTTTAATCAAACTTAAAACAAGAAACAAATGGGGCACCAGGCTTTAATCTCAGTGGGTGTGGTTGGGGGGAATAAGATCACATCATTAAAAAAAAAACAGCTGGCCCTCCCTAGTGGCACAGCAGGTTGAAGCACAGCACTAAGAAGCTAAGACCACTTCAGCATGAGTTCGATCCCTGCCTGCCCCGGAGGTGACCACATGGTGCTGCAGACCTCTCCTGACCAGCCCGCTGCTCCCCTCAGCAATGTACTTGTCAGTCGGGCTGTTCTGCTCTCCACTCTGTCTCTGGTGAATCCTCTCACTGCCCCTGCATCTCTGGCCTGTACCTCAGTTCTGTATGCAGAAATAAATAAATCTTTAAAAAAAAAAAAAAAGCTAAGTTATATCAAGAAAAATTTCACACACACACGCAATCAGTAAAACTTTCTCAGGTTTCATATGTCACACCATCATGGAATCTGCAACTCCAAAGCTGTCCTAGACAAACCCTTTGCAACTCCTGTGTGTTCTTCAAGCCACACAGAACATAAACTTGGCCAAAACTAACCGCAACAATAGCAGTCAAAGTAGGCGCTGCCTTTCATAAGCAACAGTCCAAAGCACCAAATAAAATTACCACCAAAGGTCAAAACCAAAAACTGTTCCTCAATTTAGAAGTAGCATTTCCTTTGTTCTGGGCTTCTTTTCTCTGCTTTCACTGCAAAGAAAGTAGGAAGTCATATTTACGGTGATAAGGATGAGTACAGTAGGTGTTCAGGTGGAGGGGACAAGACTTTGCAGCCCAGGCTTGACCCAGAGGTCTGCGGGTGCGCACACACACCACACACCAATGCTCAGAGGAAGCTTTCAAGAAATGTCACCAGCGGAAGTTCTAAGGCCTTTTTATTTTTCTCTGTAAGGTCTAAGGACAACCCTGTAAATGCACGATGCAACCTGGCAGAACGCCATTGTCCAAAGCGATTCAAGAGTTCCCTACGTTGCCCGAGAAGGAAAGAGCACGTCATGTGGACACCCTCGGGACTGCCACCTCTCACAGAGGAGAGAGGCCGGCCCATGTGAATCAGACTGCCACCGCGTCATTTCTGTGACACTCACGGGGAGCATCCGACCAGGATCCCTGGCCCTCCCGGCCTAAGGCTGCTGGAAGAAGAACAGAAATGCATTCTTCAGGGCCCTCCCACTTCCGTTCTCAAAACATAAATGCACTGTTTCTCCTACTCCTCATCCTTCAGCCCCGGACCTCTCGGGAGCGGTCCTCCCTTCCAAGGGCTTAAAGCTGAGAGTCTCAAAGCGACAGTGGCGACACGGTGCGCTTGGTCAACACCCCCCACCCCACCCCACCCCGGCTCCAGTGCAAGTCAGCCGCCAGGGCCTCGCCGAAAGCCCCTCGGGCAGGGGCCACGCAAGCAGCAGAAAGAAGTCCACGTCCCGGCTGGCCCCCACTGCCTCCCGGGTTAGAAGAGCGGAAAAGCGCAAAGAGGAACTAAGTGAACTGCAAAGGGTGGCCCTGCAAGATCCCTCTGAGAGGGGGGGGGGGTGGAAACGAAGAAGGAGCGGAAGGAAGGGGAAAGGATGAGCAGCAAGAGGAAGGGGACGAGCGCGCGCTCCCGCAAAGGACACTCGCCTTCGGGGACGCGGCTGCACCCCAGCTCCCGCAAGCCGAGCGGGTGCGCCCGGCCTCGGGGGCGTTCCGCCCCGGCCAGGGAGCCTGGTGGGGAGAGGAGCAGGAGACACCCCCTTCCCGGCTCATCCTCGCCCCTTAGAATGGTCGGTCGTGGCCGCAGTGCCCTGGACGGGGCCCGAAGCCGAGGCAACGGCCGCTCGCCCCGTCGGAGGGCGCGAACCTCGGGGACCTCCGCCAGTTGGGGACCGGTTTTCACGCCGCCACTGCCGGGGGAGTCGACTCCGGGGTAACGCCGCCCCGGGACCCGCAGGCCGTGCAGGTTACCTGAAGCGGGGTGAGTCCCTCAGACACTCCTCGAAATCCACCGTCATCTTCATACTACCTCCGCCTCGCCTAGCAGGCGGCGCAGGAAGAGCAGAGGGAGCCGCGCGAGCGGCCGCGCTGCGGACCCGGACGGATACGGCGGGCGCACTGCCGCGACTAGCGCTGCGCGGAGCTTCGCAGGGCGCCTCTCCCGCTGGTCATAGCAGCCGTGATGACTGCGGCGGCAGCGTCGGCTAGTCAGGCCCCAGCCTGGCCCCGCTTCCTCCCGCCTCCAGCAGCTCGCCGGCCTTAGGGAAACGGCCCCGGAGTGACAGCATCAGCCAGCCAGCCACGAACCCAGCGGCCAGTGGGCGGGGCCTTTCGGCAACACCGCCTGCGGGCGCTCGGGCAACGAGTCTGAGCGACGACAGCCCAAGCCAATGAGCAGTGCGACCGTGGGCGCCTCCTCGCCACAGGCGTACCGTGGGCCAACCGGGACGCGCGGCCGTCGCGAGGCGGGATCACTGGTTGCTGGGAGGCCGGCAGCTGGGGCTACTTGAGAAGGAAGTCACGTGGCCGCGCTCCGCGTTTCCCTCCGAGCCCCCGCCTCCTTTGCTTCTCCAGCCCCGCCCTGCTGTGCTGCCGACGCTGTGCAGCCGCCGCCTGCAGGTTTGAGGAAGCAAAGTTGCCTTCTAAAAGCAGCTTTGACAGAAATCTGAAGAGGCTAAGGTAGAAATTATGAAAGGAAGAGATGGTCAGGTTAGAGAAACTGAGGCCCGGAGAGAAGCAAGGGTAACTTTAATGATGAAATCGATCTTTCAGTTTTTGTCTTCCTCACTTAAAAATTTGGAAATATGTCCAGCGACTTCTTTTCATATCGCCAGACACTACTGAGGATCTGGCATTTGGAGTGGGTTTCAAAAAATCAAAAGGATGTAGACTGGTATGAGATGCAGGGCTTTTCTGGGTAGGAAGTGCTCTCAAAGCCACAGAAGACATTTCTCTTTTGTGACACCTTCTTGTGGTAGCTTTTGCCAGTTCTATAATAGGCTTCTGAAAAGCTGGCTCCAGTACTCCAATTTATAATACCTGACCTCTGATCCGTAGATTTTCTAGGAGCACTACATACGCAGCGTCTGAGCCGTGCCATATATAAGAGCCATGGGTTCACTGTGTTTAAAGTCTACTTTTAAACCCAACCTAAAAACCATAGGCACACCCGTGGAAATGTGCCAGAAGGATGTTCTCACTTCGTAGTGACGCTGAGAGTCTGAAGGTAAACTTCGTGGATTTACTTCTTAGCTTTCTCCCTGTACGATGAAGATGATACCACTGGTCGGATACTTATGAAACTGAAAAAGATAAGACTTCTAAAAGCGCTTGGCACAGTGCCATCCATACAGTAACCACTCCGTAATGTAGGCTATTACCATAATTGTACCACTTTCTTCTTCAGTACCAGTCTTACATAACCCTTTGACCATAGGCTAAGAATAGCATGGTTCCATGTTGTTTTTAATGACCTATAGTTATATCTTGGCACCTTTAGAAAGTTCCTGAAATTTTTAGACATTTCAAAAATATGTCTCTTCTTTTGCTAGTAAACTTGTTTTTTTTTTAATTGAGTTATATATCGCTGGAATCTGCACAGCTTTTCTTGATAACTAGAAGCTATTGACAGTTACATGTTCAGTATCCTGTAGACACTTAGGTTGGTCAAGTCAACTTCTAAATTTGTAACTTCTGTGTCAAATTTAGCGAGTTGGTCATGGCTGCTATATTTGCATTTCCTGATGCATGACAGCTAATCTGTACATACAATAACTTATTGTTCCAGTGCATCAGCACAGTGTAGGCTTTTGAAAGATTAAACCTAAGGTGATACTTCAGGATTCAAATTAAAATTCAACTGCATGACACCATTAATGCAAATAATGCAACTAAGATAATTATCAAATGAACATCATTCTCTGGATGGTTAAATTTAAAGAGACCCAGTTAGTGATAACTGTCACAACTTTTCCTCTCTGTTCTCTGGTAATGTATGCATTTGGGGATGTCAATGTATGACAAATCCTAAACTAAGATATTAAAGGTGGGGTAGGGTAGGAATAGTGAATCTTAAAATAGAAGAAATACAATATTATTATAATAATAATGGAAACCACAGCCCCAAGCTATAAAAATAACTTGTCAGGTGATTCAAACCAAACATAGGCCCCATGACACCAGGCTTTTAACTGCATACTGCCCACTCTCCCCCTTAGAATTCTGCCTTTGCAGTTGTGGCCTCTTTCTATGAAGCATTTCCCTTTCATCTCCTCCTTAAAATGCAGCTCAAATGCCACTCTTTCAGGAAGCCTCTGTTTGCTGAAATACAGAGCTCTGTTTGCAACACACCCTGAAAGCTAGTTACCAGACCAGTCTACAGTGTAAAAGGATACGCAAGATCAAACCTTAAATCTCTTCCAAATATCTTCTTCCCAGTCTTCCTATTCCTTCCTCCACACCCTTTGCAATTCTCCCTATCTGAAGCAGCCCTCCCACAGTGCTGCTTCTAGTGAGGATATTTCTACTGAGGGTACTTTTGATTGTATATCCTTTTAACAGAGGCGTTCACTGCTTACTCTGATCCTCCTGGGCCAGGATGCATAATCACTAAAAGCCAAACTCTGGAGAGCAATTTATATTTTACATTTATTTTACCTTTATTTTTTGAGCCTGATGTCATCTAATTATACCACTGTCTTACTCTCCTCATTGCTTAATTTCCTCTTTGCTGCTACCTACAATTTCCTAGTAACTTCCTGCTTTGGCCCAGCTAATTGCATTGCAAATTATCTCAAGAGAAGGGCCTTAGGATGAGGATAGCTGTAGAGAGGTACTGAAACTGGAGCCCAGCAACCCGGGTATCTGACAGTTGGTTTTCCTCTCTCTGGGTCTGTATCATCTCCCCCGTACTCCCAGACTCCTGCCAGATACCCTTTCTGCCCTCTTGTGGGTCTGTGCCACTATGGTTTGCATTACTACCGGTTCCTTCAGGTTGGCTGTTAGATGACTATAGAACCAAGTGAATAAAGTAAATGAAAAAAGCTAGCCAGGTGGAAGCAGTATGGAATGGGGGAGGGCTGAAAGGCAAGTATGTGCCCTGGGTACTTACTCATCTCTGTTTCATTTCTGCCATATGAGATTTTACAAAATAGCCAAATTTTAATATAAAATCTCCCATTATTAAAGTATTAACAACCCTTCAAAATATTAGAAAATATTCCACAGGTCATAAAATTAAGTTTCTGCCATTTCTGCTTAACAATTCTTCATGCATCCTTTCAACCAGAATTTTTGGAGTTTATCACTTTAATCTGTTTCTCAATTCCCAGATCCCAGAAGAAAATCAGATTAACCTAACTCTTTATTCCTGACAAGTCACACAGATCTCTTGCAAGCCGACTGGGTGGTACCTCGTGACCTAATTATTTGGAATAGGGGGGTCAAGATGGGGTCTACAGGACAACGGACTGCTAGATTATTTCTCTAAAAGGGGGTATCAATGTACAGACCCCATAAAACACAGCTAGTAAAGTCTCACACTCATCTGGGACTTTGGCCTCTGACTCACAGTCCTCCATCCCAACTCCTACCCTCAGCTAAGGTGATTTCAAAATCCACTCATTTTTCTCTTTCATCCAGAAATATCCATGGAGAATATACTCTGACCAGACCCTGTGGTAGGTTGTAACACTGACAGGTAAAATAAACAATGTGTCCTCTTTCCCCATGTACACACTAACCTATTAAAGATCTTTCACACTGAGAGTATGCTTCCTTTGTGTTTATGCAGCAGACCGCAAAATCCATTTTAAAGCATGCAGTCCTTTAGTTTGGGGGGGGGGGCGAGGGGGGGGCGCCGCCCTGAATACTCTTGGTCACATGCTAACACCTGAGCCATGCTATGGACCTAAGAACAGTGGGTATCCTAGTTTTATGAGGTTGGTTACTAGGGCAGGACAATAAGGTAGCAGGCAGCACTGTCAAAGTATGTTTTAGGCTGCGCCACCCTGTGCCTTGTGCAGAGGGTTACATGTCTCTTTATTCCTCAATGCCTCATTAACACAGGTAGATTTAGGTTATAGGGGCCCAGACCACAACTTACTTCTGTCCGTCATTGTCAGGTCTGTGCTCCTGTGAGTCTTCTGCTGCTCTTCCTTCCTTCCAGCCCTTTCCCACCTTCCCGCCTTCATTGCTTAGCTGGAAGAAGTACTCAGCCTAACTATAATCCCCATGGATCCCGAAGCACTTGTTTCCTGGCTTCTTGATTTGGCTGTGGTCTTTCTCTGAGAGCTTTCCTGGAAGGTTTCCTCCCTTCACAACCACATTTAATTGATCCACAGATGCTATTAACGGTTGCTCATGGGATAGCTCTTGAACTGATGCCCATCTTCAAACCTCAGGGCTCTGCCTTGGTTTAGGCTTTCAACCCCTTTGGCCTGGATTATTCCAAACAGCTCTCCTTTTTTCCTCTAAATTTTTAAAAATTAAGGTAACATTGTTTGACAACAATGTATATGACTTAGAAGAATAAGTTCACACCTCTTCACATGTATGCTACCACACCACCAAAGCACTCATAGTCCTAAAAAAGCCCCCTTATGGCGCTGCTTCGCTATTATGAGCTGAATTGTGTCCACCCCACTCCCCAACCAAATTCTAAGTTGGTATCCTAACCCCTGAATATCTGAGAATGTGACTATATATGGAGAGGGACCCTTTAAGATGAAGTCATGAAGGTGGGGCCCTAACCCAATGTAAGAGTAGTCCTTATAATAAGAGGTAGTGACATCATGAACATGTACATGTGGAGAAAAGGCCATAGGAGGATACACCAAAATAACCATCTATAACCCAAAGAAAGTAGCCCCTGGAGAGTCAACAACTTGATTTTTGAACTTCCAGCCTCCAGAACTGTAAGAAAATTAATTTCTGTAGTTTAAAGCACCCAGGTTGTGTATTTTGTTCTGGCTGCCAGAGAAAAGTAATATAATCACTGTCTTCACTGTCCAGAATGTCTGGGGAATCCTCCACTTTCCACAACAGAGTCTGCCTGTCACTGTCAGTGCTGCAAGCTAGTGTCATTCTCTTTCCCAGTAGCTCTGGATCCAATCGGGGATCCAGAGTGGCAGCCAAGGGTGATGCATCTTGGTTCTCGAGGCTCAGTGACAGTGGCTCAAGGACGCCATGTTCCTTGGCAGTGTGGTGCTGGTGCAGGCTGTATGTCTGTAGTGGGTGGCAGAGACGTGTTC